TCATCTTATAGCGAGATTCATGCACCTCTTCATCTAGAATTTACGAAATAAACTTCATTTTTCATGTTTATATCTTCAACAAATGTTTAACGTACGACCCAACCCAAAACTCGAAAAGTTAAAGACGTCGTACCGCGAGGCGCCCGTTGCAATGGCTGCATTTGAAGCAGGTTTTGTGATAAGGAACACCATCTGCAGACATAGTCTCAGCAAAATGAACAGTTTTGCCACAAGCCTTGCATTTTTGTACAGTGCCATAGAAGGCCATTTTTTTCTTTGTTTGATTTGGAAAAACAGAATTATTAGTTTCAGATTTGTTTAATGTGAAGTTTTTAATCTGTTAATGAAAAGAGGTTAAAGGCAGAAAGTGAACCGCAAGAACAAGTGGAGCAGATAAGTTCTGCCTAATATTAAGGGCATGCAATGGAGGGCCTAATTTTCTTGAAACAAACAGATGTCCTAATAAATAGTGTGCATTATATTATAATGTATGAAAAGGTCTTAACCGTGGTACGATTCGAGCCAATTTTGATGAGAATGAAAATGTACACAACCGAGAAGTAAAGAGAAATATTCTATACATAAACTATATGGTTTCTTGTTATATGTTCGTTCCAACCCTCAACCCTCTTTTCTAGATTCATCGATATTCAATCAATCGAACGCACTTCCAACACCTGTTCCAAGGAAGCGAATCAAACTATAATGGTTTGGTCTATTTCTTTTACGCTCCAAAATATAACATAAAAGAATACATTTATGATACAATGAAAATTCGGTTCAATCAAGAATCAAATAAATTTGAACTCCAAATGAATCGAGCCAACTAGTTCGATTGTGGTACAGTTTCAGTAATTCCAAATTTGTAACCCATCTTTAATTTTAAACCATTTAAAAAAGATTGGCTTATATTCAAGCCATAGTTTTTAGAGGAAATTAGAAAAAGAGTCAAAATTTCACTTTGCATTATCAAAAATGTCATATTTTTAAAGTTCTATCAAAAATGTCATTTTCGGACTTTTTTGCCCCTCTGAATAATTTCAATACCTTATGTGTCCTTCATTAAATGTTATATCACTAGACTATTAAAAATTGTACAAAAACCTGTGAAATGTCAGGAAAAAACGTTGGAAATAGAAGAAAGAAAGGAAGAAGGTGAAACAAGAAAAAAAGAAACCGGCCTAAAACCCATTTCACTCTCTAACTGGAATCTCTTCCTACGAACCGTCGACAACCACCGTGAAGACGTTCACTGTCGAAGACGACCATAACAAAATACAAACTCAGTCGCCTCTAACATTCGAATCAGTAGAAGCCGAGCACTGACTCCCTGTCATTCGAATCGTCCGACGCCCAACCGTCGACAATCGCCGTGAATCAGCCCACAGTTGTCGTCGACCATCCCTAGTATCTTCAGGTTGGTGTTTTATTCCGTTTTTATAATTTTGTGGAGAAGAGAAAATGTTTTTACCGCGTAGACCTATTTTGGGATGATGATATGTTGAAGCTTTTTTATGTTGTACGTATGATATGAAAATTTATATGTGAAAAATCCATTTTGAGTTATTATACATATAAATGAGTATTTGGATTAATTGAATGGAGTTAGTAGGTAGAAAAATTAAAAATTTTAGAAAATTAAAGATGTGCATATTAGGTGTTTGTCATAATGTAGGAATGAATATGAATTCAAATCCCAATGAGTCATCTACTTAAGTTGGTGAATTAGACAATGCTATCCCTGAAACATCTTTTAGGAATGAGTTTAATGTAGCTTGCTTTCAATAAACTGTGAATAAACTTAGGTATAAAAGGTATACCAACAGCAAGTAATTTCAATTTCACGTCAAACCAAACTTAATTGAAGGTTCGCACATGCGATTCTTACTAGACAACACAAAAGTATTCTCTGTTTTTTTTCCTCCCTCAATGTGAAAATAGTTTACAACTCTTCAAGTGAACAAAACTGAGCGTCATTTTCGATTGGCTACATGGATACCCCTATTCTGCTCTACTATAGTAAATATTAAGGCCTAAAGTGTATCTATGGTACGCAATACTTGACAAGAAAATATAAAAAAATAAAAATTTAGCTTTATGTTCTTTGTTCATGTTGTCTAGTAGCATCCAAATATCTGACCAAACATGCCAAAAGAGTTGATATTCCATATCACCTTCCCATCTTTCATTATGTATTCTAAGAACCATAGTTGCAAAAGTAGGGGTGTTTGAGTTGTCGAGAACTGTCGGGTCATCCCTATAACCTTCATATTGTCCAAGAACCACCTCTTCATCTTTGATTGGAACCACTGATTGGAGAACCTGAGTTTAAACTAAATTAAAGAGAAACTACGAAAGCTAGTGCATAGTCAAGGCAACTTCAAAAGAATACAGAAACCATGGCAGAGAATTTAAAGTTTATATATAGAAGCAGACACATGAAGAATGGAAATTTTGGAAAAAAATAAATATAAATTGAGTGTATAATAGATACGATTTCCTCTGTATATACCGGCAACCACATACCTGCTGTTGTCATTAAGACACTTTTGTGGTTTTTCCTCGAATTTTGGCTCCTTTGGATTTGCAACAGCAAGAACCATGTACTGCAACAAGTAATTTACAATATAAATTAAGGAAAGATTGTATTAATCCTTTGAATGCGCAAATTTGTAGCATATTCTATTCATTCATCCATTTTAAATCTCATATAATGTTTCAGTTCCTGATGAAATTATGGGAAGTTTATATGACATACTTTTGATATATATTTTTTTGATTTTGTGGTAGTTTCTGTTTTTAATTTAATATTTAAGAGAAAATGCATGTAGGAAGGTTAACACTTCATGTCGAAGGACAGGCACAGAGAGTAATAGTGGAAGAAGCTTCAAGGTGAATGCAACTATGAGAGGTTACAAAAAGGTTGGAACGATAAATGGGAAGAAAGTGAATGGGATTCATGTTGAGGGGAAGCCATGTTTAGGCCAAACGAAATTATGTACTGAGCTACTACAGGGGATATATATATATATATTATTTTACTACTATATTAAATTAAAAACAGAAACTACCACAAAATCAAAAAAATATATATCAAAAGTATGTCATATAAACTTCCCATAATTTCATCAGGAACTGAAACATTATATGAGATTTAAAATGGATGAATGAATAGAATATGCTACAAATTTGCGCATTCAAAGGGGTTCCAACATTGCATGTGTGCTTTTGCATTAACATCATTGCAATGCTATGATCTGGACATTTGTTGATTGATTCATCATTGCACCTTGTTTGTCCAAATGTGGTTCAATTTTTTCCGTCCCGACGTGTCGTGTGTCTTGAAATACTACGATCTGACGTATTAAATTTTTGTTAAACTACAGGAGGGTGCATGGATTTCGAATATCTAGTTCCAAAGAATGCGCGGCTGAGGGCCCACATCTCACAGCGAAGCAATCTACGGTACGTGAAGACAGTCCTCGAGCATTTTGATGACCGGCAGTGTACTAGGGTTCTTATCCGAGGTTCAAGATCTCCAATTCTCAGCCCAACTAATCCAGCAGCTCGTTTTTCGCTGCATACGAACTGAAAAGGCCTGTCAAATACGGTTCAAAGTGCAAGGCCACTTAGCGAGGTTTGGCCTGCAAGAGTATGCTCTCGTCACGGGTTTAATGTGTGGTCCTCTTCCAGATGACGACGCGATGGACCGAGTTCTGCAATAGAGGAGATTGAAGGATAAATACTTCAAATCAATGGACAGGATTTCATGTGTCGAACTTGAGAAGGCATTTCTCCAGCCGTCGACGCCCCGGGCAGATCGGTACAAGCTTGGGCTTGCTCTAATCATCGAAGGAGTGTTCAATGCTCCGGATAGCTATGTCGGTATTGAACTTCCCACACTGTCGATCGTGGACGATCTGGACATGTTTTATTCCTACCCTTGGGGTAGAGTATTGTACATTCGTCTAATAAGGGGCTTCCGACGCCGTCTGGGATGAAAATTTGTAGATGCCATAAATAAGAAGGAGAAGACGATTACTTATACAGTTCACGGCTTTCCCATTGCCATGCAGGTACTACACTAAAATTTTGTACAACGTATTCATTATTTCATCGGAAATGTATTGTCATTGGTTCCTTTAATGTTCAACTCACACTTACTATCTGCTGTAACAGATCTGGGCATTCGAGGCAATGCCAAAAATTGGGGAGCGATTTGCTTGGCGATTGGGTCATCAATCCCCACAGCTTCTGAGTTGGACGTGCACCAAACAGCCACAGCAACGAACGTATGATGTATTCTTCAAGAACATTAAGGTATTGGATTGCGTTTCCTGCACACGATCTGCATGTGTTTTTAGTCGTTACATTTGTGGTGACACTGAGTTCCTTTATGTTGTAGCTGCACGTGTCCGCGACTTTTCATCCCACTGAAGCTGAGCTTGGGCAACCATATATCTCCACCCTCTTGCCGTTTGAAGATCGTACTGTACCTGCGTTGGATGACGTTGCAAGGGACATTATCCCTTCACAGCTTCACCCAGCGCCTTTGGCCAGTGGGAATAATGTTGGAAACTCGAGGGGGGTGCGCATTGATTTCCAGTGGAGGAGGCTCCAAGGACGATGAGGAGTCAGGCAACAGTGACGACGAGGGAGCCGGTGAAGAGACTGGAGGTGATAAGAGTGGAGACGGCAACGGAGAGGCCTCAGACGAGAGGGACAGTGGGATAGTGAGGATGAGCATACTCGTACACCGTAGACTGGGACATATTCCACTCCCCCTATGCACAGACGTACTTCTCCCAGTCATGCACCCTCCACATCTTATGTACGACAAGGTCAAACCTTTGGAGCGAGCCTCACGAGAGCTGAGGTGGAGGAACTATTGCTGGATCAAAGAACGCTCATCGAAATTCACCTCTGCACAATCAAGCTTGAGATCATACAGCACGTGATCGATGAATTTGTCAAGGTCAGGGACTTCATTTCTACCCTCGTCCCCCCATCTCTCTCTAGAAGTACTCCACCTATGGCTCAGGCGGCCAACGAGCCCACAGTTTTAGGTAGTTTACTGCATGGTATGCGTACTACATTTAATTTTTGATCTACTATATATTACTTATGTTTGCTGACATTGAGTAAATGTAAGATTTGTGACTTAGACAGAAATGGAGGCGAGATCGACCCTGTCCCGAAATGTGTGGAACCGCAAGGTATGTGCATCAATTACGATGGATTCATTTTCATGCAATCTTTAATATTTGATACTACCAAATACGTAACCCCCTTACATCTTTGTAAATGTTGTTTTGTAGTGCATGGAAGAGGCATCTCCCGGTTGCTGGTCGATCAAGATGAAGATATGGACAAGGAAATGCAAGAGCGGAACGGTACGTGTGTTAAGTAATGCATAATATTTGCTTTCGTACTTAGGTGTCACCTCATTCCGAAGTGTGTATACTGTAAATCCTGAACGACGCGCGGTTTCTAATATTGGGTATGTTGGTACTCATGCGTAGGTGGAGCCGGCATGGAATTCGAACCACCAATGAATAGTGACGATGACGAAGTAGCTTCCGATGGTTCGGGGAAACGTGAGGACGACCGTGTTGCGTCCCCTACTGGCGTAGTGGAGGCGAAGGGTAAGTACACTACAGTGGAATACTTTTATTTCACTGCGTACAATAACGCGTAATATTTGGATCATTTACTTACGTATGACCTCATGCACAAGTACGTATACTTGACTGTTTGAAGTATACAGTGTTACTAATTTTTCGTCGCATGTTCATTTGATACTAGGTGGATGCGGCATGGATTTCGAATCAGAAAATAATAGTGACGATGATGAAGTACCTTCTGGTGGTTCGG